AAACCACAGCCCTCCCCGCCCCAGCCTGCCCCCCCACCGCCTCTGCTCCCTGCTGCCACTCCCACCACTTATCTTCCTGTTGCAATTCTGGCAGGGTCCTGCTCTGACCTAGAGAACGGAGCACGTGCTGCCTCTGACCCCACCTGGCCACACATTGGCAGCAGCAGTAGTAGTTCTGGCCCCAGCTCCACAACTGGAGCTGCCACCATCGCAACTGTGGCTGTGTGGCCGGGCGGGGGCCAGAGAGAGCATGTGCTCTGTGCCCTGGGCTGAAGTGAGGCCCCAGTCAGAGTTGCCATGGGAAAGTAAGCAGATGTGGCAGGGGGGGATGCGGGGAAGGTAGCAGGGGAGTGTAGGCATGAGAGGGGACCAAGCACCAAGGGGACACAAGCAGTGTGCAGGTGGGACAGGCACCAGGGGGTACAAGCATCACAGACACGGGCAGGTGTCAGGGGGCACAGGCTTAGCAGGACAAGTGGCAGAAAGGAACGGAGATGGGGGAGAGAAGGCACATAGAAGCGGGGAGGAAGAGAGGGGAAAGACACAGGCATCATAGAGGGGTAGGTGGCAGGGGAGGCAAGTGGTGCAGGGGATAAAAAAGCAAGAAGCAAGGGTCAGACCACCTGACTCCACGGCTGCCTGCTCCCCTGCAGTGGTGAGGGAATGAAGACAACCCTCCAATAACTAAATTCTAGACATGGAAAATTATAACAAATGTATAAGTTTTCCCATGTCTAGAATCTAATTATTAGGGGATCATCTTAAATTCAAAGTAGTCTTGGATTCGAGTGAATAAATTGCTCAAGGAGTTTCTGATAGAGCAGGAAATCAAACCCAGATCTACTGGGCACATAACCATACTCCTACCTCCCTAGTTCAGCTTGGATGCAGAGGGAATCAGTGCCAATTTCTGCTGAAGGCAGAATTTCTGCTCCTTTAAAGTCCACCACACTAAATACTGACATACCTAGACTTTGCTTAAGCTGGAAATTTACAGACTCACATCTACAGGCACAGACAAGCTGACAATGTTGACAGTGACCAAAAGGCTGCTTACTTCGATTTCTTCCATTCTTTGTAGCATAGTCTCCAGGCTGTCACTGTCAAGCATGGCTACAGCCTGGGCTTGCACCTTCTCATGTCGCTCTATCTTCCATAGTTCCTGGGCTGTGTCTTCCAAAAGATCATCCAATAACTTGTTACTCAGGATGTCTGCATTGGCTGCAGCCTGTTGTTTAGAAAAAGAGGAAAACAAGGCCAAAAAACATTGGGAAGTCAATTAAAAAAAAAAA